ATGACATCAATGTACAAACTTTTTATAAAGCTAAGAGAAATGACTCACCTCCGCACATTTTTTTGGCAGCACTAGACGACCAATTCGCCCAGCATCACTAGCACTCAACATTTTCTCAAACAAAGGAGTGATTATAGGATTTGAACTTAAGTATGACCAAAGAAATAATGTCATGACCAGTATATAGGAACTAAGAAGCAAATGTTTCTTTCTTTAAAGAAGAAGAAGAATATAATACAACTCTTAGAATTAATATTAGTGGATATTTTTCCCCAAAAAAATTATATTTAAGTCTCTCATGAAAGAACGAAGCTTGTTTCTTAAAAGTTAATAAACTCTGCAAAATCAATTATAGTTTGTTCTGCAATTCAAAGTATCAAGAATACCTTTTAGAATCAAAAGGATACTCTCCAGATGTTTGCTGCAGATTTGGATCAGTAAACCTAGGCCTCCCATTATGAATCAGAGTTTCACCTGATGCATCAAGCCCATTATGTAGATTACAATGAAATTGCTTGGCCAGAGGGGATTCAGAGTTCGGTTGCAAATGCGTGCAAGGAAATCCAATTTGACCATTTGCTCCATCTGGAGATGTATAAGGTACAGCTAAGCCAAATGGTAAATTAGATGGTTCCTCCCTCCGAAAAGGATGCTGAGAATTGGTTAATCATGGACCAGACTGCTTCTCACAATTGATTCCTGGACAACAAATGGTTTCCAAGAGGTTCAGCATCCACTCTGCACTTTTACTGACAATGTTTGCAGAAGAAAATGTACATGCAAGCATGAGGGTAATGTAGACATCCACATCTTACATATGCAAGCATTAATGCTCGTGGATATATGTTTACTAGAACTACCATGACTGACACAGGGAAATGTTTTTCAGAACCTGCATTTCCATTCTCACGTGTATCCTGAGCACCAAGCTTCAGGGACTCATTCAATAACCTTTCAGAGAAGTCCTCAATTTTCTTCTTTCCCAGGCATGGAGAAGATAATCCGTTGGAAACCTTTAGTTTGTCATTTCCAGTGGAAAAGTCAACTTCATAGGGAACCGTAAAATGCAACTCAGACTGGGGAATTGCAGAATTGTACAAGCTGGACACTTGCCGCCAAGGTACAGGACCCAAACCAGCTAGCCGACTCCAGCCCCAACCTTTTGCAGAATCATCTTTAAATCTTTCAGACAAAGAAGAGTGCACAAGCAAAGAAGCTGACTCCAGCCCCAACACACTTTATACTTCCATGCATCACTCTTTCATATACTTACAGTGATTGTGGATGTAAACATTAGGGGTAACTCCATTGATTTGTTCCATTTTTGGGATAATTTAATTCTATTCTCTTATAATACTATTATTAGTATGTCTAAATCCATATTATTGTTGTTATAATAAAAGTAATGATATATATTTGAGTAACGTGTAAATTTATTATCGGTTGAACATAATTGATTGAATCTTCATATGATTTTGATTGTGCGATTAACCAATCATAATAAAATTTTATTTCATCTTCTTACGTTGACAATCAATTATGTAAACAATTTGATCCTACTAAAAATTTTAAGTATATATCAATTATCAAATTGATCCTTAATTCTTTTTATTACAAGTGGTATAGAAACTATTCGTTTGATCACAATAATTAAAAGATCAACTTAAAAATTGAGCAAATAGTTCAAAGTTAAATGAAATTCAAATTCAAATAAGCATATAACAGAGGGACTAAAACTATAATTATACCTAAAAAATACCATAGTATTTGTATATAAATCTCAAGTGACGCACTTCCCTTCAAGAACCCGCAGTAAATCAATCTTATTTTCCCTCTCTGTTTGCAGTCTTCACTTATTTGTTCTTGATGGAAGAAGATGAGAATTGTAATGGAAATGGGAATCAAAAGGAGCATTTGAAATCGATTGAAATTGCTCCCATGATGTGTTCTTCACCAACAATTTCAAACCTTTCATTAATGTCCTCGAATGATCCATTTTTCTCCTGCATTATCACTCTCTACATTCTAATCCTCCTTTACTTCCCTCGAAGCTTTTCCCTCATAATCCTCTTCATTTTAACTCTTCTTTGATTTCCCTCCTTCGTTTCAATGTCGTCCAAAGGATCCAAATGGGAACAGAAAGTAAACGAATCGTCAACGAAGTTGAAAAAACGGAGTTTCACAGCAAGGGCTGAAATGGGTCGGGCTTAAAAGAGATTCGGAGGTTATAACTCGGAGTTTTGAAGAGTTTATCGTTGAATCCGACGTCGGAGCTCCGTTGGATGTGATATTTGAAGGGTTCGAAGGAGAAGGGGAGGATTACCCCGATCCGACCTGTGTTATTGAGAGGCATCCTTCGTTGTTGTACTATCCAGAGTCGGACTTGGATAGTTCTTCGACGTTGGAGATGGATTTTCCAGCGATCGGAGAATGGGTTTCATCGGAGAAGATGTGTTACCGATCGGAAGAGGAAGACAGAGATGAAGGGATGATTGAGATAGAATTGGATTTTCGTGAAGAAGATAATTTGATTGAAATTGATATTTCTTAAGCATTAGTTTTAGTTAAGATTGGATTTATTTTAATTAAGAGTTAATTGTATTATATGTATTCAAACTATGACTCTCATATTAAATCGGTCTCTAAACTTTTAATTATTCTAATTTCATCCTTAAAAAATGGTTCTCATTTTAAATTGGTTCAAAAACTTTTGAACATTCCAAAATCATCCCCAATCTATGACCCTCATCCTATATCAATCCCCAAAAATTTGGATGTTTTAATCTTATCCCCAAACTTTTGAACGATTTAGGGAGACATTATTGGAATTTTCAAAAGTTTGGGGATCAATTTAGAATGATGATCATAGTTTGGGAATTAATCTGAAATATTCAAAAGTTTGATGATTAATTTAAAATATGGGTTATAGTTTGAGAATGAAATTGAATCATTTAAAAGTTTATAGATCAATTTAAAAATAAAGATCATTGTTTGAAAATGTGTAATACAATTAACTCTTTAATTAATTATAAAGGTTGGAGTGAAATCTATCATTAAATTTAAAGACTATTCATTAAAATAACAATGGTAAATAAAATAAAATTATATAAAATTATCTTTGTATTAATCATGGACATATGCCGATGATTTTTGGATTGTGAATGGGACGTTTCTTGGTTTTGGTGAGGGGTTAATGCTTATATAATATATGTAGTGCTATTATATATTATTTTATGTCATATTTTAATTATGAGTCATTTTATTTTTAAGGTTTGAATTGAATTATTATAATTTTTAAAGATATTTTGAAAACAATATAAATCTCTAAAGTAATAAAGAATGATGCGGCAAATTGGTGTTCCTATAAGGAAAAAATTACAATTTTCGTTTTGATTTTCGTTAAAATCTTCTTTAGACTTTAGAGCCTCCATGGAATGCTGATTGCTCAGTTTGGTCCCCAGCAACTCAAGTACATTACAGTCCTAAGAGACTCTTCTGCATGCTTCAGCTTCTCGTTCTTTGCAGTCTTTGAAACCCCACTCTTTATCGTATTGCAGAAACCACTTGCTTGCTTCGACGACGACGAAGAAGATGAAGAAAACCCAGACCCAGTGAACGATCTCAGACAAGGTTCACACTTGGAAGCCTTGTCTTCCATTGCCAATATTTTTTCTTTTTGAAGTAGTCAGAAAGATATTTTGCAAAAACTATTTGAATCGGACCATGCTTTTAAAGAACCAAACATGGTGGCTTCAAATGGACGTTTAACTTTAACCAGAGGAAGAAGCTAAGAAGAAAACATTAAGATTCCCAGATAATTGGATAGACAGGACGAGACACGTTGCCTACGTTTTGAGTTTGAAAGTTTCTCATGCTGGAATTTCTATCGATTTTCAGGTAGTTTAAGCTTTCTGGGTAACTTGCTGGTGTTGATACTTTGGCGATGATGGTGACTTTGAAACATGGTTTGATTTAGTCAGCGATAATGTCGAGAGATTATAAACAACCAAGAATTTGATTCTATAAAAAGTCAAGATCAAATTATGTTATAGTCCCTCTAAAATGTTTATATGTATTTTTGGGTAAATAAACTTTGGGTAAACTATGTGTTTAATATCTAAACTATTAGTTTTGATATGTTTTAGTACCTAAACTTTTATTTTTTTTCAAAACCATATCTAACGTTTAGTTTTTTGTTTTATTTTTGTACTATGTCGTTAAAAAGCTTTTAACGGACGGATTAGCCGGCTGCCGCATCTAAATTCATTGGCCGTAAATTTCGTATGGCATTTTGCTCAGGTTCCTACATAAAGGTTTAAGGAAAGCCCTTTAAAATTTCCCAGAAATTAGTAGAGATTCATTGGCCGTAAATTTCGTATGGCATTTTGCTCAGGTTCCTACATAAAGGTTTAAGGAAAGCCCTTTAAAATTTCCCAGAAATTAGTAGAGATTTGTAGTAAACTTAAAATGAAAATTGAAAAAGTTTTGAGAACTGACCTTGTAACCTTTAGGAGCTGCTGTAAGAACGCAGACGTAAGGTGACCGTGTTTTTGATCCGAGGAAGGATCGAGTCAACTGCAATTCCGACTCGTCTCCACGATGTAGCTGCCGTAAAAAAACGAAACCGGCAATGGGAGAATGTGAGTTCCGCTACTTGGGAGATCATTCAAGACAAAACTAGGTAAACATGGGTAAGCACCCTTGAAGGATGGTAGTTGTTCAAACAAACCCAAAAAAACATCATAGAAAAAGTCTATGTTTCTCCTTAAAGCAAGCTAATTAATGTGGTAATCTGTCTCTCAAAAGAAAGTAAGACTATAAGTCGCATTAGGGAACTTATTTCACTCATATAGTGAGATTTGATTATATAAAATTTGATTATATAAAATATAATGAAATTGGTAAAGCTTCATGGTATCTATGGATTCAACGCATTGACTGGTGGATGGATGTGAAAAATAAAAGAATATGATTAATATTTCATTAACAATAATCTGGAAATTCATGACTTGGACTGAAATCTAAACACCAAACTGTTTTGAGTTCAATTCAAGCAAGATAGACTAATGAAAGTCCACACTCTGATGAACATAATTGGCGAATTGGAAAAAATATGTTTATTATATATTGATTGTGGGTGATGAGAAAAGTTGTGTTCAACCAACGCTCCTTCTGCAACCGGTGGCAATAAGACAACCACGGGTGTAAGGGTTAATAGGTCCTCCTCCTCCACAGCCGTAGTAAGAGCGTCCACCTTGGTTGCATGGGACTGCGTTTTGCTTAAGTGCTTCATACGAAATAGCCTTTCTTTTGGTTGCAAGTTCCCGAACATTCATCTCAGATTCCATTGAAACGTCTTCAAGTTCACGGTGCCCGTCATTGCATGAACTTGTGCTGCCGTTGCCACCCGAATGACAGGTACCCCAGCTGCCTTGGTTGAACTTAGTGCATTCGGCCACCATTGCCATTGCCAAGGCCAAGAGAATCAACATCGCTCCCACCTTGGACTGCATTTTGCAAGTGTTTGAAACGAAAAAATGGAATGTTTTGAGTTTGTTCGGTGTGAAACAAGGAGAGCAAGAGGGGGGATTTTATAAATAATTTTGGAGGCAGCGCTTAATTTTCTTGGTCCTTGACTCCTTGTGTTTCTATTTATGGAGTTTCTTTGATATTTTTAGATATCTGTTAGTTGTTTTCTCAAATTAATATACACCAAGTTTTGAGTTTAATGGGACAAAAACATAAACAACATGTAATCTTCATGTATAAATATGATAATCACTACATAAACCTCAACTTCATGCATAAGCATGAAATCATCATATAACTGTATATGAATAACATGATAACATTCGGTTCTTTTTTAGTTTATTATCTCGTTATGAATTCATTTGAATCAACCATATAAATTATTGTAAATGATGTGGGCATTAAAAATGTATGCAAGCAAATAAGATAACATTTGAGGTCGTGAGAAGAGAAAAAACGGTATAAGAGCATATTTTAATGATTAAATGCATTCATAATATGTTGTGAATATATCATGTTGCCCATACTAATTGAGAAAACAACTAACAATTATCTAAAAATAACAAACAAATCTTATAAATAGAAACACAAGGACCAAGAAAATGAAGCGCAACGTCCAAAATAATTTATAAAATCCACCCGAAGAAGCTCAAAACCTTCCATTAATTTGGTTTAAAACAGTTGAAAAATGCAGTCCAAGGTGGGGGCGACGTTGATTCTCTTGGCCTTGGCGATGGTGGCGGAATGCAGCAAGTTTCAGGAGGGCAGGTGGGGTACCTGTCATTCGGGTGGCAACGACAGCACGGAATCATGCAGTGAGGGACACCGTGAGCTTGAAGACGGTTCAATGGAGTTTGTTCGGGAACTTGCGACCAAAAGAAAGGCAATTTCGTATGAAGCACTTAGGCAAAACGCACTACCATGCAACCAACCTGGACGCTCTTACTACGCCTGTGTAGGAGGAGGACCTATTAACCCTTAACACCCGTGGTTGTCATATCGCCACCGGTTGCAGAAGGATCGTTTCTTGAACACAACATTTCAAATCAATACATATATAAACGTATTTTTCCCCAATCCGCAAAAAAAGAAGAAAAAAAAAGAATGTGGACTTTCACTACTTTATCTTGCTTGGATGGAACTCAAAACACTTTGGCGTTTAGATTTCAGCTCAGGCCATGAATCATTGAGTTTCCAGTTTCCACATTATTGTTAATCAAATATCAACCATATGCTTTTTCTTCTCATATTCATCCACCCGTCTGGGAGTTGGGACGACCGAGAATTATATATATAATTCATATAAAATGTAATGATATTGGTAAAGCTTCGTGGTATACAAAGAGGAATGTTTTCTGTTAATAAGAGAATGAACTTTTAATTGTCTTCTTTAAAGATTATTAATAAAAAAATAATATTTTTAAATAATGAAGATGAGTGTATTTTATATCAAAATTGGTGATTAAAATGTAGTTTGCCGTAAAATAAATATAAATCCATGTGCCATCTTAATAAGATTTGGCACACAATTTTGGAAGGTTATTTGGCACACAAATTTGGACTTTAAACGGATACAGCTTCTTACGAGGGCGTTAGTGTAATTTCAATCAATAACGCGAATTAGTTTAGGACTATGCTTCCTGCTCCACAAACATGAATGAGTAATATTAAATTAAGTTATAAAACGTTAAATTATAAAATATTAAACGTATAAAAATATAAATTAATTAAAATATAATATTTATAAAACATTAGACTTTAAGATAAACTATATCACTGACCACCTAACTATTTATCCATTTTACTTTGACCATTATTTTTCAATTTTATAAATCGAGTCACCTAACTATTTAAATCATGTCAATCAAGCCACATGTCGTTAAATATTAATATAAGAGATGACATGACAGTTAATAAAATTTATATAATTACACATTTAGTCCTCATTACTTACACATTTTATTAATTTGGTCATAACTTTTATTTAATTTAATAAATTAAATCCTCAATCTGATAGAGACATGTGTCACTATGTGATTGAATTTTTTTAATATTTTTATTTAATAAAATTTTTCATCCAATCAAATGGTATCACGTGACACCAAGTGAATGAATGAAAAATAATTTAAATCAATAATTGTTGTTGGTGGGGTTTAAACCAGTGACGCAAGCTGAAAAACTAAGCACTCTAACCATTAAGCTAGACCATTAAATTTGTTTAGCATACAGAATATAATCTATATAATTTATAATATAGTTAATGGTAATAAATGATCTTTAAGGACTTAAACATAAAATAATTGAATAGTATGAAAATATAAAATATATAAAAACAAATATTATAATTGATTAATAAATAAATATGTTTTATTTATATTTTAAATCACATTTAATGCAAACATTAAAATAAAAAGTGAATTTAATATGTTATAATTAAAATGTATCATTTTACATATTTTAAATTAATTAATTGTCTTCATTATTATAATTTTATTGAATTAAAATGTATCATATCTTATATTTTAAAATATTATAATGTCGATCGGATTCTAATCTTATTTAAAAGCTCCATATTAAAATAGACTAATTTAATAAAATCAAATTTCTCCTAAAATTTTCTTCAAATATATAATGAATAAATAATGAAATATAAAATTATTCCTCTATCCGGGATATAAACAAGCCAATGCATAAATTAAAATGCTTACTACGATAAGCCCTCAACTATCAAAAAAAATTCCAAATCAATGAAACTCTTCGTTATATTTCAATTATAATATATTAAAATTATTTTATTTTTCATTAAAATGATTTAAAATATAAATAAAATACATTAACATATTAATATGTTATAATATTTGTGTATAAATATCATACTATCGTATTATTCAATTATTTCATGTTGGAGTTCTTAGTAGGTCATTTTCCCCTTTTTTTGTCATTAACTATATATATTATGTCATGATAGGTTTGTTATTTGAATGGTGCAACCCAATTGTTAGGGCGTTTATTCCTCTCCTCATGTCTTAGTTCAAACCCCACCAACAATAGTTATTAATTCAATTTATTTTTTATTCATTCAATTGGTGACACATGGTATCGTTTGATTGGATGAGAATTTTATTAAATAAAAATATTAAAAAAATCCGTAATGAGGACTAAATATGTAATTATATAAATTTTATTAATTATCACATAATCTCCTTCGTTAATATTTAACGGAAGGTGGTTTGATTAACAAGATCGGACGTTGTAGAAATTTTCATTAGTTTATCGTATCATTTCCCCTTTGTTCCGCCAACAAACCCTTGATCAAGTTATTTCCAACTCATCTATGGTTAGTTTCTAATAACTTTAGTATTCTTTTAACTCGTTTAATGTTTTTTTAGTTAATCATCTATATTCGATTTATTGATCGATTAATTCAGATCGGGTATTACAGAGATAAGAGCGACCCTCCCAATCCAAATTGTTCTATTTGCAAATATTAGGGTTTGAACCATTGACCTTTACTTAAGAAATCTAATGTCTCATTCCACTAGATCAACTGATTGTTGATACTTCATTTAATGTTTTTAGTAACAAAATAGTATGTTATTTTTCTTAAAAGTTTTAAGTTTAAATAACTATATTAGTAAAATATGCATGTACTATTAACATATTAAAAAAATTCCAAATTAACTTTAACTTGTAATCACCTTAAATTATTAAAAATAATAATAATTTGTGAGTGAACAGTTAATAATACTTGTAGTGTTAATAGCATATAAACCATATTGGAAAGAGAAATAACTGTTAATAGTGTTAATACGTGAATGTCATCGTCATTGTCTGTCTAACTCTGTTTTGTCCATTTAACACATCACATTTGTGTATTGGGAAATGCTAACGTGCGATATTTTAATATACGGTTAAAATAAAGTATTATCGACTTTATTATTATTTTAAATAATAAAACTGGTAAAAAATGATTGAAAATATTATTATTATACCGGTTATAATTACCGATATAGGTAAACGCGGTAGAAAAAATCTGATAAAAAAATAATATTTTAGATAATTATAATCAATCGAAATAATAATGTTTTCGGTCATTTTTACTGGTTTTATTATTTAAAATAATAACAAAATCGATAGCGTCTTTTTTTAACCGTATATTAGATTGTCGCACCGTAGAACTTCCCGTTTTTATCATTTAAAAAAAATTGTAAAAAATTTTCTTTCAAAATTTAAACTTAAATAGAAAGTCTTTATAATCTCGTTGTTACCATTTTTGTTAATCTCGGTGGACATTGTTCAGTGCAATGATCATATTATGTTATTTCGAAGCAGGTCATATCCTTAAAGTTATTATGTTATTTTTCCTTGATTCATGAGAATCAAACAAATATCTTATTCAAAATGCATCAAACATTTATCACACAGACTAATATATAAAATATTTTTTAGACAAATGTCGATTTTATTAATCCAAAACAACCAACCATATACAATTAATTACAAATCCAAAAAACAAACCACAAATAAATCAACACTCACCCATAATAACGTGCAGGAATGTGACTAAACAAGTTAAAACATGCAGAAAGGAAAAGACAATCCAAGTCAAATTCCACTACAGCAAGAGTTGAAAAGGGGGAAACAACCTTGCTACACCCCTTTAACACTATGCTATTCGATCTATAGCAGCCCTCAACGACTTACCTCTGCCATTGACTTGAATTCATTCCACCATTGTCATCCAAGAACAAACCGGGCTATTAACAATATGGCATGCTTAAAGGATAACGACCCTTTGACTGAAAAAGGCACAATTCGTAAAAAGACGGTCCCTAGTTTCAACATCAGAGCCACAAAGAACGCAAACAGGATCCACTTGACAACCCTATTGTAACATACGAACCTTTGTTGGCAAACGATCCAAGAGAACAAGCCAAGCAATAAACGAGTGTCACGGGATAGACAAACCCCCAATAGGATTTTGAACCGGGGAACCCTCTCCTGCTTCGCCTAAGAACCTC